TAAAACCTAGTAAAAAATGCCTGAGTTGGTTTTGCTTCCCTTATTTTGAAACAATGCATTTCTTTGTTGAAAATCTTCCCTGAAAGTTTGAATGCTTTGGCCCCGATCTGTTTATTGCTAGTTTATGACTATGTTTACAGCATTAATTGCAGATATGTTATTTTTGCATGTGTTCTATGATTGCTCTTTTCTTTTTTTTCTTTTCTTGGCTTGCATGTTTGCTACTACAGGAACCTGCTTGGGAAATCAATGGCAACAGAACAACCTTCAGCCCTCTAACTAACACGGCGACTGGGCCTGTGGGTAGTGTTTTAGCAACCAATGGAACCTTTTCAGGCTACCTCAACCAGCAAGAGATCAGCCTTTCAAATAGCTCTTCCTACCTAAAGACTACCACAGTTAGATCTTCCATGTCCTCTCAGTCTGTGACTCCTGACATTTCACCAGCCAAGAGCTCGTTAGGTTCCAAAGCAAGCCCTGCTTTGGCTGGTGGCAGTAGCCCTGCTCAGCAGCTGAGCCCTGCAAGGCAGTATAACAACCCCATTGGCCTGTACTCAGCAGAGACCCTGAGGGAAATGGCTGAGATGCATAAATTGAGTCTCAACCGAAGGGCTTCGGAAGGTGGACTTCCTAGAGGGTAGGTAACATGGTAACATCTTTAATTATTTCAATAAGTAATGAACTTGCTGAGCAGTGAATGTAATGGTGCTTACCCTATTGTGCATTTGTCTAGCAGTCATTATTAAAGCCTGGATCAATAATTAAATTTTCCAGTAGCCCCAAAACATACCCACATTGCCATTACAGAATAATGGTTGGTGGTATGTGATGTGCAGCATGGATTGGCAATTGTCAGCAGAGCGTGCGGGGCAACATTCGGACTGAAGTAACTGTAATCATCTCAGGGTTGTGACACTCAGCAGTTCTAACTAATACATGGAGTCTCAAAGAATCAAGTACTGCTGTCAGACATCAGGGCAGCTGCTATAAACCACACCTGATCTTTGGTACTTTGCTAGAGAGAAATGGCTTTGACCAGCAAATCTGACATACACAGCTACTGAAGTGTCCTGCTGTAATTCCTGCCTTAATACGTTGGCTTTCCTATGCAAAATGAGTCAGAACTGCAATATTTTGAATCCTCTGGTTTGAAGAATGTCTTGCATCTTTTAGCTTTAATGTTAACTTTGCTATAACAAGGAATGGTCTCCAGATACTGCCCAGATAGTTTGATCCCATGCTGTCAAGGTTTTCCATATTCCTATATTGCAGGTCATCTGTTTTGTTAGTAGGTTTGTGAAGTGAGGATCTTGGACTGCAGAACATGAGAAAAAGCAGGGAGAAACAGGTTTTCCTAATTTTTTGCCTTCATGTATAAATCATCAAACAAATCTAATTTTTTACTTTATTTGTGGTTTGGGTTTTTTTTTTTTTTTTAATGGAGATAAATTTCTTGTTAGGAATATGGGGAAAAGTGTTTTCTTGACATTAGGGACTTGGCTATATAAGGAAAACCAGAAAATTCCTACAATTCACTCAAGGTCTGGTAGCAAATGCATATCTTCAGGTACTTTATATCCATTTGCAACAGCTCTTTGCAAAAATAAAACCAAGAGGTTTTAAGTTGTAGAAAAGTAGGGGTATTTCATCCAATTAAAAGAGCATATATTCCTGTTCTAAATGATTCAAGCAATTTTAGATGATTCACTGCCACTCCCTTGAGCACTCAACATTAACAATCCTAATTAACTTATCTGAGAAAATTCTATCCTCCCTTCTCATACTTGATAATTAAGTAAAGCATCTGCCTTTAAAAAAAAATCAGTTAGTAAGCAAGATCAGCAAAATAAACCTCAGAATACTTGTCTCTTAATTTACAGTTTCCTGAAGAATACCAATTCTTGTCTTATTTCAATATGCAGAGTTTCCTGGGTGTATATCTTAGTGTCTTTTTCTCCACTATGTTCATAATCTTCCTTAATACCTGCAGGGGTGAGGGTGAAGGAGCTGAATTTTGGATGGCTCAGCATTGTGACTGTTTTGTTATCAGAATTACAACACAGCTGCATCCATGACTCACCAAAGAGAGTGTGAGCCTTTCTATTCAGTTTGAATGAAATTTTAGGGAACTGCTATCTGCCTTTACCATCTTGAATACTGATGAACAAACAAAAAAATAAAAAACTTTTATCCTGCTGTGCAGGAACATTCTGAAAAGATCAAAGAGTCCAGAAGCACTAAATAAATGTGTTTTATCTGGTAACTTCTCTGAGATTTAGAGAACTGTACATCTCTGTTGACATGCAGAGAAAATTCAGAGCTCAATAGTGCTATCATTCCCACTTCCACTTGACTGTTATCCATGAAGTAAGAAGTATCTTGCCTCCTGCTCTGTGGAGAAAAACATGGAACCTGTAACTATCTTGGGACTTGGTGGCATCCATGATAATCTCAATCTCACAGTGCATATATGGGAATAAGGAAGCACTGTGAGCACTGAATAATCAGCTCTGGTCTTTTCTGGGAACATTCTTACCATGTAATACAACATGGTTGTGATATTGTGGTGCTCCAAAACAGAATTCATTGTGTTTTCACAAACATGCACTTAGCTGTATGGTAAAAGCTGCGAGAAAGTTCAAGCATGAGGAGTGATCTTAAGGTATGTTTCAGTTCTGTACCCTTTTCACCAGATGATTTAAACTTAATTGTGTGAATTGCTGTTACAGGTTTAGCTAAACCCTTTGGAAAATCCTATCAAGAAGCTGAAATTAATTTTGAGATTACTTCCTTGATCTGTGAAGAATAACAAAGCATCTGTTTCTCTAATAGACTTTACATTAAAGTTTTATCACTCTGACCCAAGGTGAAAAATAAGATAGCCTATTAGGAGTGTGGAACGTGATGTGCTGAAAGCTCTGGAGTGTATGAATAAATATGAACAGTGAGTCATAGTTTGTAACGTGCATCTTTTTCATTCCAGTGTAAGTTATTTTTCACACTGTAGGTCAAGGGCAGTAAATACCTGTCCCACAAGTACGTGCCAGGTGGCTTGGGTTACTGGCCTCTTACTGAGTGACCTCTGTGAGCAGCAAGTTGGGTGTTCCAGACATGTCCCTATATAGAGTCAAACTAAAATTATGTGTGGCTCTGAACTGGGAGGAATTTTCTCATCACATCCTAAACATAAGGAGAAGCAAAGCTTTACTGTTTTTGAAGGGAGCCATAGCAGTCTCTTCACGTCTCAAAAATCGTTACTGAGACATGACTACTGAGCTGTTCTTAGTGTGTGCACATAATGTTTCTTTTCTTTGGACATACTTTTCTATTCCTTTAATTAAGGTGTATTTTAGGGGTTTGGTAGTTCTGCCTTGAAAATGCTATTTTATATGTATGGTAGATGCATGGATGAGTCAGAAAATGATACCATTACACTTGTTTCATTGTAAATGAGTACCCAGCTGTCTTGCATACACCTAAAATGGATATAGGATCACTGATGTGCTTACAGGCTACAGCTTGTTCCTAATATATCTCTAACAGTTCCTGTAAGAACATTTGGCTTAATGTAGGGTTTATAAACGTAGAAGAATATTTTCAAATCTGAGAGTCTGACCAGTAGCTGCAGAGGGTGATCTGTGATTGCTTTACCATGGAAATGCAAAAGTGCAAAGCCTTTACTGCAGCTTTGGCTCATTAGAGTGCTTTTGATCATGAAAAGTGCTGTTTGATGAGCCAAGGCAAAAGGATTATAGGTAGGATATCAAAGGTTCTGCAAGGAAAAAGCAGGAGGGGCCAAATCCACCTGGAATGTCACTCTTTAACAGTGTAGCTTTGCTGTCCAGTATTTTCTATCAGTCCCAGACACAGAAATGTCACAGCAGCAAGTTGGAGTCCTCAGTGCTCAGTTCTGTCAACAGCATTCCATACAGCCAAGTAAAAAGAAAGTTGATTAACTGACGGTGGATCTCTTCCTCTTTATTTTGCACAAAATAGGATTAATTATTCTTCAACCAAGAAAAGAGCACAATGTGGGTATTCTAAGCTTTGGGGGGAAAAAAGTTAAAATAAATATCACAGCCCATTACTGCTATTTGTGCAACCACCACAGAGAGTTATTGGGAAGAGCACTGTAGTTCAGACTGAGCACACTCTGTTCTGCACTCCCAGCTTTATCCTGTGTTACAGTGCTTTGGAATTATTGTGCAAGCACCATCACTGGTTTATGCAGAGATACAGGAATGGAGTGTGATACCTTTTTTTCATACTGTATGGAACCAGTTATAAAATATACTGATATGGATATCCAAAAAGCCATATAGCAAGCGTGGCTTGCTTTGTTTCATGTGGAATAAATTAGGAATGACTATTCCAAAATTAAATGGCTTACACACCTTTTGGCATAATGTAGGTGCAGTCCTATCTAGGCAAATGCTTTGTTATATACAAAGGCATTTTCCTTAGTTTTAGCTTTAAAACATTTACCAATATATTCTTTGGATCTTCTCCAGCATGTAAAAGATTTAAAAATCAGTCTTTCAAAACCAGCTCTGAGGGTGGCCTGAGAACAGACTTTATCCCTGAATATTCAGTATCTAAGAGAAAAATATATCTCTACCACTCATGTGCTATTTTCAGATGAGAATATACTCTGAAAATTCTCCATTTTTCCCTCTGCTCCCTCCTCCCTTCACTTTGGCAGTAGTACTTTTAAGGATGCACAGCAATAAGATCATGTTCAACAGTCAGCCAAAATGCCATGGTACCCTACTAAGTCCTGGTGGATCAACTATAATCCCTGCATTTTTTCCTTTCTTAATCATGGTAGGGTTTTTAGGCATACATTTACTTTTTATTCTTTTTATTCTTATTTGTAGATGGTCTGAGAAAAGCTGTAGCAATCTTTTGTAAATATCTTTTACCCTTTGCACTTTACGAACTATTGACTTTTTTCTGTGTGGTTGGTTTTGATGTTGTTTGTTCTCTTTCTCTTCTTCTAGGTCATAACCAACACCGCTGCCAAGTTAGTATCACCTCTGTGTAGTGCCAGATATTTGTGTGATGCTGTGTGTGTGAAGATGTGTTTTCTGGGGTAGCATGATCCCCTGTGTTCCTGCTGTGTCTGCTTGCAAGTGCAAGTATTTTTTTAAACATCTGCTTGGTGTGGCAGGCGCCCTGCGCTGCCCCTGCTGTCCAGCAGTGCTCCCGCTTGGCATTTCTTGGTGATGCTCTAATGCTATGATAGAGCTGCCATCTGAGCCTGCCCAGTTCTAAAAGCTTTCAGGTGATTGTGCTTCTACAGGCAGGTTTAAGTTCTCTTGAATCTTTAAGTCATCTTCATGCCCTCAGAGTTTGGAGAGCATTATCTGAGCCTTTTTTGGTGTGTTATTAGTAAAGTACTTTTAGCTTCAGTGTTAAATTAATTTCTAAAGTCTGATAAAATTCAAATTTAGGTTGGAGTAAGATACTGATATGGGAAAAAAAATCTATGAAGTGATTTACCTTGATAAATCTATTGTCCAAAAACGAAATAACTATTGACTTGAAAATGTGATTGATCTGCTTTATTTAGGAGACTTCAGAGAGTCCTCAGTTTTGACCTTTGACCCTGGTCAGAGGATTGTCTCTAAACTCTTGCTTTTTGCCTCTGACCTGAGTGTTGTAGATAAATTGCTGGAGACTGGGTCAAACTGAGTATAAAATAAATAGTTCTAATAGTTAAGTGTCAAATTTAAACTGACAGTACAAAGTTAGGAGTCGTAGAATACATAAAGTTGAAATAATATTTAATGCATATAATTTACATTGATCTTGCATTATCTGTTGATTTCGGTGAAGTGTGGGTGTGATGATGTAAGTCCTTTGGAGTGAAAAATCCTAGCCAGTTCACATTAATAATTATTCTGACAGGATTGTCTTAGAAAGCAGAAGTCACTTTATGGGGGTATTTGTAATCTTACTTGCTTTGGGATTTATTTTTCCTGATTCTTTTGTAACTTAGGAGAAAGATCCCATTCATTTTGCAGAGGTGCTATCTCTGCAGCCTTACCTCTGCCACTTTGTCCCAGAGCCCAGCACTCCTTACAAGCACTAATATCTTCTATTTTATTCCAGAATTAGAAAAAGAACTCAGTAGTTGGCAATCTGTACTTTTTTCTGTTATTTTTATTGGAATCCTGTTAACTTCAGTGGAAGTTTTGCCTTGGTGTATGTAATGTGACTAACACCTCTTGAAAGACATCACTAAAATTGCTTAAAGACCCCAAGTGAAAGCCCAAATGACTCCTGTTGCTACCATGAGGGAAGTTTAGGTTGTTCTGACATTAGTAGCTTTGATTTCTGTAACTGACTGTGGAAACAAATTGCTTAGAACATTATTCTTTAAAGGTGGCATATTTAACCTCTGTCCTTTCCTTTGCACAGTTTTCTCAGATCTTGGGTTTAGAATCTCTTTAGTACTTCCAACACTGTGAAAGAAAGAGAAAACTAAATTCAAGATCTTGAGGACCTGTGTATTTGTAATTATCATGTGATTGTTTCGGGTATTACACAGAAAAGAGATACTGGTGAAGTCAGGCATGTGCATGCTCAGTACAGCAACCTGCATGTCTCAGCCCATCACCCCTCCAGAGATGATGTAAATTGTAATTATAGAATTGTCAGAGTTGATGAATAGTTAAGGGAGATGTGTTTTAAATGTGAGAATGTCTTGGTAAAAAGATAATTTTCACTTTTTTTGAATGCATAATGCCACTTCCCAGTTCCCTCTCTTAAGATGTTGGCATGTGCAAGTGAAGGCTGTGGCTGTAATGCAGCATGTGCTCCTGTGTGTCTCTGGTCCTTGTGCATGTGGCTGTCAATGTTCTATCAAGGATTTGCAATGATATGTGACTGTATCTCTCTCTGTCCATCCTCAGTCAGGGCATCCCACCAAACAAAAGGCTGAAAACAGAGTGAAATCCCCTATCACCTGTAATAGTCTCCAGATATATAAGTCAGATGGCTGCCAGCCTTACTTGAGTTTACCTTTTTCATCATGCTAGGTTGGTTTTAACTCTCACTCTCTGGGGCTACCCATGGTAAACAGGCACACTGTTGTGTGTGTAAAGAGAAAAACAATATTAGCCAATAAACTTACAATCTAATGTCTTAAACTGAAAAGGAAAATTGTTCCAATAAAATGGAATTAAATTCTTCAGCATTTCTTCTGCAGGGAGAGAAATATCTATTTCCAGCTTTGGGTTCAGTTCTGAATGAAACATTTATGAAATATCTGTTATTTCACAAAGGATGGAGTTCTCAGTTTTGTCCAGTTTGGTGAGTATATGGAATCTCTCCTGCTGGTATCCCCCTGCTGCTGGCAGGACAGGAACTGCAGACCAGAGATTCACCTGATCTCCCATAGGTTGAAGAGCAGCCACCGTAGTGGCTGACATTGGTCATTGGAACTCTGGGCAGTGCTCAGTCCTAGCTCTAGGACTAGAACTATGCACAGCCCAACCCTACAAGAAAACCAGCTGCTCTTTGGCTGCAGTCTGACATCAAACTAATTCTGGTGTCATGGAAGCTTCAGTTAGCTTGCTTTAGGGGCTCAGTCTGTCAAATATAAAATCTTTCCTTGTAAATGGAGTCACTGGAAACAAAGGCAGCAGCTCTTCCAACTGTACTTGATCCTTTGGTTGCAATGTTGCATATTTTGATCTGGGACTGAGCATTTATCATGCTATAGCAGCACTTCAGGCTGGTGTACAGAGATCTTGGGAAGATTTAGTCTCTGTAAGGAAAGCCTTGAAGATTAAAAGGCACAAGTACTACATTTCACTGTGATTAATAACACAGACAGAAAGTACTGAAACATTCTAAATAATAGAGAACCTGATATCTCTTCACTTCCCTGTACTTTCTAGACCTTTATAAGACCCTTCTGAAAACACAAATGGATGACAAAAAAAGTGGGAATTCTCTGCACTTTGCATGTACATCCCATGGGCATGCATATATGTGCATATATACAAACATGTGCATGTTTGTATACACTTAAATGTATATATGCATATAACAACAGAATTTTAGTATATGTATCACACAAATACTTACTGATTTTTTGTGGTATTTTAATACAGTGACAGCTATTTCACCTTTTTTTCCTTTTTATACATCGTAAGCCAACCCAAAAATTACATCCATTAGCACAGCCATCTTTTTGCTTGGTACTTACATTGTCTGTGCTTCCCTGATGAGAAGCTTTGGTGAGATGCCATGAACAGACATGCACACTCCTCTCTTGGTGGTGCTTCTGTCACTTAACTTCACGCCTCTCTCCTTTCTTCCCCTCCCTTCCTTCCCCATGGAACCTCACTCTTGCATAACCCAGCACGGACTTCACGGAGCGTTTCAACCCCAATGTCCTGAAGGACTCTGCCCTGTCTACCCACAAACCCATTGAGGTGAAGGGCCTTGGCGGCAAGGCTACCATAATTCACGCGCAGTATAACACCCCGATCAGCATGTATTCCCAGGATGCTATCATGGATGCAATTGCAGGCCAGGCACAAGCCCAGGGTGGAGAATTTGCTGGGTAAGGTTATTTCCTTCTGTGGAATGCTCTTTCTCTGCATGGTACTTGTAACATCCCTACCTGCATGACACATTTGCTCTTACTGGACTCTTTCTTTTTTTCCTGGGGTATATTACACAAATGTGTATCAATCCTAGACAGTGTCCAAAAGCACTTCCATGTTTTGAATTTAAAAGGATGGATCACTTGAAAATCATAGCATGGTTTGTTGTTGTATGGGACCTTAAAGTTCCAAACCCCTACCATGGTCAGGGGTACGTTAATTTAACCTAGTTTTTTGGTATTCCTCCTAGAACTGCTAAACCCCACAAAAATACATCTAATGCTCTGTATATGATATTGGATGGCTTTTCATTCCTGACAACCATGATTTATAATAGTCACTATTGTATGCATAGCTCAGAAAGGACAGAAAAAGGAGAGTGGAATTTTTATTGAGATGTGAAGAATGCAAAATATTTATTTAGCGCTGGCTACTGTTTTATTCTTCAGAATGGAATGTTTTGCTGTATTTTCCCTATCCCCAGTTTACATACAGTACATGTGTTTTACACAGATCCTTTGGACTATCCAAAAATCCCCTGATCTTTAATAACTTTGCTTTTCCAATGCATGTTTCTGGTAATCTTACCTGATTAACTTATCCAGAGTTGTAATAACTTCACTGAAATTACATATGCTATGAATGTAGCCAGGTTTCTCTTACTGGGTGCACTTCTGCCCAAAATAGAAATTGCCTTCCTTTGATATGACACCAAAATACAGGTATAGCAACACACTTCAACGTAGTTTCTTTTCCATGTGTTAGCTGCAGGCTTATTCAAAATGAGGATGGTTTATGGATTTGCTTGTGCTCCCTTTTGCTGGCCACTTTTCTCTCTTTTGTATAATTATTTTTCTTTTCTGTTAACTTTTTGCACCAATATTGTTGTTTATCACAGCTCTCCCTCATGATGGATCACAAGCAATACTTTTAGCTGGCTTTGGCCATGACTCAGTGAATCTCCACAGGTGTTGAGTAGATTCATATTTCCAATTACTGAAGGACAAAGAAGTTTTTTTGTGTTCTCTATGAGAGTTCATATCCTTCGTAGGCATGGTTTATAGGAGACATTTTATGATACATTGGCACTTTCTATTACATGCTGTAGCATTATATATGCAAATAGTAATGTTTTAAAAAAATTACCTATTTAAATGATCAGAGGATTATAAAGTTAATGCTGCATATGTGGATCCTTTTCATTTTATAAGTTACTTTTAGTTTCCTCTGTGATATTCTGAAGTTTAATTTGCAGTGGAAACCATAATGTTCTTTAGCTTGCTTAGTCAATCAAGTCTAAGTTAAGATTATGCTTAATGAGGAAGTATTTGTATAAGGTGTTTTTAATATAAAAGCAGACCAAATTGTGTGCTGATTCATTTTGTCTCAGTTATCAGCCTATAATTTGGTCTTGGTTCTTAATTAGTAGCCTTAGTCCTTTTCATTTGTCCACAAGTGTCTGTAGGGTGATAAGCACACTCAGACTGCACATCTGAAGGGCAGACAGCAGCTGGAAACAGTTTACTTATTTTATTAGTGATGAAGGACAGACAGGCTTAAGATAGGAACTCATTTTCTAGTTTGACCGTTTGAAATCAGTGATGTATCTTCATGAAATCAGAGTCAGACTCTTGTCACTTAGAAATAAGCCATACTTACTGGATCACCATGGAAAACATAAAGGGAAGGACAGAATTATTGATACTCAGACTCCATGCTGAAACCTAAAGGCAGAAAATTTCAAAAGCCCTGACTTTATATATTTTTCTTCTCTTTGTTTTTCTGTTTTAATTGATCTTGCTAAACCAAGAACCAGGAGCTATGTGGCTGCAGTAAAACCCTGTGGACAGTATGTTTTGAGTACATTTCTCTCAAACCACTTCTAAATTCCATTATGCAATTTTAGCCAAATTCACAAGCTGTAGAAAGACATATATCCAGCACTTTTATTGGGAATAAGATCTGAAAGTTGAAGAATCAATAATATGACTATACAAACTAAGGTGTTATGTGATCTCTGCAATAAGTCAACTTGGCTGGCTATTTACCAGTCTACGTGAACTTTTGTTTGTTGGGTTGTGGGGTTTTTACCTCTTAGGGCTTTTTTTAAAATAGCTGGAATCAGTCTAATACCTGATGTCACAATATTTTGTTGTATGTCTACATCAGGGGTAGAACACTGCAGTGTTCCTAAGTTTTTACTTAATATCTACTGAAATTAAATCTGCATAATGACTCCAGGGAGTGAATCACATAGTAAACCATAGTTTATAATGAACTCCAAAAAATAAAATTCCTCCATCGCTACTTATTCAGAGAAGTTTGACTGTCTTTAAAGGTTTTTTTAATGTAAAAATATGTGAGTTAAATGATGATAAGAAAAAGGAAAATTATTTTTATTGACTCCTACTAGAATACCTTAGGCTCTAGATTAAAAACCTCCAACAGTTCTAACCCATTTGGGAAGAGGTTTTTTTTTTCAGTGGCATTAATTTAAAGTAATATGCTTAAAGATGCATGATATTTCTGCACATCCACACCCAGATGGAAAGAAATTAAATTACAAAGAGGTACAACAGAGGTATTAACATGGTTATGTGCATCTTTAGGCTGTCTGTAAGAATCAACTGTCACATTTAGGTTTATGAAATGCTCATAATCAGCGATGCGCTCTATTTTACACTTCCATGCTGAGAGGCTTATATGTCCTAGTTATTCATCCATAATATAATTATGTTTTTAAAAAGAAAAAGGCCTGCTGAATTAAAGACAGAGTTGGAAATACTCCAATGTATTGCATTAATTTAGTTCAATTTATATGAGCATGTTTCACTCTGCTGGGGAGGTTAATTCACCAGGCTCCATTTCCTGCCTTAATCATCTACCATAAGGATATTAATATGTCATATTAATGCCACACATTGCTACTGTGAAATTTGTGGTCCAGCTTCCAGCTCTATTTTTTTAACAATGCTTGAGTTAATGGCATATCTGTACATAAACCTTTGAACTGCCTTTTTGTACATAGGTCATAATATAAGAAGAAAGCATTTGAGCTAGAGGATATAAACAGAGGAATTTGAACTGTCTGTGGCTGGCACACCACTGCTGCCACAGTGGTCCGTGGTTGAAATCAGCAGCACTGTCTATCCAGTAGTTTATTATCCACCCTAGAACTGTGTTCAGCTGGGAAATTTGCTGTCCCATACAGCAGGTTTTTAAGCTTCTGCAAGATTACACAGTGTGGGGATATGAAGTTAACTGTTGGCCCACATCAGGCAGTCACTTCTGGTATTCATACAGGGCAGGTTCTGGGTGCGAAGCACCCTGAAGTGCCTTGGGGACTTGAAAACAGGGTCACCTTTTGGGGAACATTGCTGTGACAGAACTTTCAGCATAGCCAAGTGTCAGAAGCAGCAGCAGAACAGTCCTGAGGACGTTGCTGTGACTTACTGTTGATATTAGAGAGAATCTCTTTGCCATGCGAAGACTATTCCTGCAAAAGGTGGGAGAAGGCAGAACTCTATGCTTTCCTGCCTGCCTCAGCAAACCCTTCAGCTATGTGTGATGGGCCACAAGAGGAGAACTACTGTTCTCTCTCCCCTCTTCCACCTAAAGAAGGCTGTGGCACCACTTTGTCCATTGCTGCACACAGCAGCAGCACTAATGAAGTCACTGATGGCAGAGCCTCCCCAAAATAAACAAGTCTGTATTCTGCCTTCTGTACCTGCGAGTGTTTGGATAGTGTAAGGATTGTGGTCTAGGAAACACAAGCTAAAAAAGGAGCTCGAAAATGTTTCTTCCTCCTACAGGCCATCTTTCACGCTGAGGAACTTTTTTACATAACTTGTATGTTTTGTAGCAGAGCTTAAACTGAAGAGTCAAGTTTTTCTCTAAATTCTAAACCTAAGCTGTGTTCCACCCCACTGGTGTGTAGAAACACACAAAAAAACTTAACTGGGATTTGTACTTTGATGGCTCCTCAGGAAAGGAGAAGTTTGCATATATGGGGGTTATAAATACATGGTATTGTGTGTAAATCCATCAAACCAGTGTTTATTACCCAGTGCTGAAGAAGAGGAGTGTGTCAGCTGGGAAGTACTGATATTTAAAGCACTACCTGGTAACATTTGCATCCCATGTCAGACATCCTGGCTTTTCATGAGTCCTCTCAGGCTTTCAAATCACAGACTCAGATTCTCTGTAGATTTTCTCTTCAAAGTGATGGCATTAACTTTGAGCCTGAACCAAGGAAGCAACTGTTGGACCAAATGGCCCTTAACTTTAAACAGAACTGTTTCTCAGTTTTCATGAAGTTGATCTTGCTGCTTGCAAAGCTCTTTATGGAATAGCATAAAGCTGTTACAATAAATCACTTGCTTCAGAAATAGACCTTGTATTTAGAGCAGTCATGGAGCCAAGTTGCTCCAAGCACACATCATTCCCTCAGTGTATATTTCTGCAGCTCTGTTAATAGTTAATTTTAATTCTGCTATGCAGAAGTTATTTTCACCGGGGAAAAAATACCACCAAAACCTATTGAGTTACTATGCCTGTTTCTAGCCCGCATCATAAATCAAAGCGAGGTTACCTCACTTGTGCTACAGACCTGTGTAGCTTTGATTTTAGGTGTGCACAACTGGATATATCACTTTGCAAGATGATTAAGCATGTTGTAAGATCCTGAGATCCATTCTGTCATTAAAGATTTCAGATACTACTTATATATGCAAGTCTTGAGTGCAAGTCTAGACTTCCTGTGCTTCACATGTTTAGTAGACAATGAATCCAGACTATGGCAGATGGAAATTTAAATCAGTTTGAAAAAGAATCATCTCTAGAAAAAGCTATAAAAGTCTACCTCATTATTTTTATACTGAAATATGGGTTTATTTCTAATTGCAACCTTAAGGTACACTGGCCCAGCACTATAATTTAAAGAAAACATAAAACAGTACCAACGTGAAGTTGTTTTTATAAGAAATAATATGTAACAAGAATGGTCAGAGAAATAAATGGTTTTGCCTGGCCTACTCTCCACATATTATTCTTACCACTGCACACTTGTGTACCTGCATTGGCTGAGGAATCGTGAACAGGTATTTCCAAACAGATTTGAAAGATAACAGGCCCTTTCAGAGACAGAATGAGCCATAACATAAAATTGATCTATGCATTTTTTTAAGAACTGATAGTTTCAAAGCCATGTAGGGGATGGCTTGGCGAGATACTGCTTCCAACATTTCCCTTTCTGAATTGCAGTGCCCTCCCTATAAAGGATCCTCATGTAGACAGTGCCTCTCCAGTGTATCAGGCTGTGCTTAAAACCCAGAACAAGCCTGAGGATGACAGTGAGGACTGGAGCCGTCGCTCTGCTAACCTGCAGTCCAAGTCCTTTCGTATCCTTGCCCAGATGACTGGAACCGAGTACAGTAAGTTGAATAACAAAACATCCCCCTCATCCTGATTTTAGATTCATGTCTTTCCTCACTGCCCTGGTATTGGCCACTGATACTCAGGGAACACTATTTTCCAGGCTCAAGATCCTGCATGTAACTTGAGGGAACTCAGAAATCATAGTGAACAATCTCATCTTATGCTTTATGAAGAAAATTCTTTCGCCAGGGGCCTCAGCATAAAAGTATAACAGATTGTACAGTAAACGAGCATTTGAGGCCCCACAGTTATTCCTACTTAGAAATCAAGTCTCTGCAGTGTAATCTTTGGGTTTCCTGCAGCCTAGACATACAGAGCTGTCCATTCTTTAGACAAAAATGGTAAACATGTCGACTGTTTTCTGTAACAGTCTTTTAGAGGAGTGACTTCTGGAAGTCAAAAAAAAAATGAATCACCATTTGTATGTAATCTATGTCTCTATCAGCCCTGTTATCTAAACCTAGATCTGATTTGAGTATCACAGAGCTTTATCCTTGTTGCCTTTGGAAATGGTTTTGTGGCTACCTGGTACTAAGCTCACAGGTGGTTCCTGTTGTAGAGAGAAGGAAGGTCAGGGCCTTTTCCCACATCAGGAGGAAATATTTAGCATTCCCTTCCCCCATTAATGTGCTGCTGCTGTCTCTCCTGCTTTGTACAAAACAGCAGGACCTCTCTGTAGAATCATTGCCTACAGCTGTGAAACATTGCTAATAATGAATGGGAAAGTAGTTGTAATAGCTACCTTCCTCCTAACATCCTCCTTCCTGTCCCTAGGGAACTGCTATCTTCATGATGTTCTTACAAATTCCACTACTGCAAAGTCAGCGTGAATGCACCTTTAGATAGTCTTTTTATAAGTTTCTACAGAATTTTAAATACTATAAAGCCGATTCCTTTCTTTCTATTTTTTAACTGAAGCATTTTTTCCTGCAGTGCAAGATCCAGATGAAGAAGCCCTGAGGAGGTCAAGGTAGGCAAGTCCCTGTGAAAAATACAGCTTTCTCCTTCCTGATAACCCAATAATGTTTTAAAATGGCATTAATTTTAACTTCCTTTATTATATTTTTGTCCTAAAATATTCTAACACATTTACTTAAAAATCACTAAAGTTAAAATGCTGTCATTGAGAGGCATTTGAATGAGAAAGATAACAAATCAGCATGTTTTTAGGAAAAACAGTGTAAAATTGCTGAAGTGTATGTTCAAATCTGAAAGCTCTCTGCTTATGCAACTTTCCTGTACTTTACTGGGTGTGTGAATGTGATGAGTTCTAAGGCCTGTGTAACTACTTGAATGTGTAAGTGGATAAAAATATGTAATGTTGTGATAGCACTGAAATCTGTGAGCAATTTATTTGGATGACCCTCTGATTGACATTTGATTCTCCTTAAATGATATAGTAAAGGAGTTGTTTCCATTCATACCTATAATCATTGGTTTATGTTTTGTTTGGAATATATATGACCTAAATTTGTAGAATATGGAAGCACAGGACTGCTTTTGCTAATGGATAAATGTATTTGTTTCGTATGATGTATCAAAAACACTGAAAAAGAGGATATGTTCAGAGATATAATATGGAATTAAAGATTTATCATCATCCTGCATAGCCAGGAAATAGATGTATTAAATATTATTATGTTGAGCTTAAAAACTGCCGTTGAATCAGAAGCATTCTGCATGCAATCCTTAGTTTCTGCTTGCATACTTCAAATCCCTGTTTCACTTTAGGTGCTCTAAGCCACCGGGTGGGTTTGTGATGTGTTTGGTACTCAATCCACCTCTTCTTTTTCTATTTTATATTTTACTGCCCTGTGGGTTCTTTAAAGGTTCTGAACTTTTGATCACAGTGCAGGTTACTAATGTTGAGTCAGTGAAAAAGAATCTGCTGTCTTCCCTGTGAGAATACAAGAGTGCTTTCAGTTGGTGTTTGCTGTAAGCCCTCCACTGCAGTTCACCCAAGTTCATGGCTGGGTGCCTGAACATCAGGCTTGACATTATAGCCCTCAGGGATTTATTTCTTCCCTCAAATACGTGAGCCAAATTCTCATTACATGTATTGTGCATTATCTGTTTTGATGTAATAGCACACGTCCAAATCCTTATTATGATGGGATTTAAAGCATTGTGCTGAACTTAACATTGCCCCATTCATATCTGAGAGTAATATGTGGTTTTAAAGAAATAATCTTTCTAGGTTTAATCTGTGGCTTTGGAAAATAGAAAATAGTGGAAACTTTACATGGTATGAGATATGTTGACAATAATTACCTGATAACACATCAACACATGTAAATTGCACATTCTATCCAGTGTAATTCCAAGTACATGAGTACATCCACTATGGTTTGCACATTTTCTGCAGTCTTTAGGTATCACTGTGTTATTCTTTTCTTGCCCAAGGATGCTTCTGGTAATGTTTGGGCACAGCTGAACAGGTTTAAGGTGTGCATTGGTAGTAGAGGAATAAGGGAGCATGTGTAGGTAGTTACACAGGGACAGTGCAACTGGTGTAAGCTCTGGTGCAAGGAATGAACTGGGGTCTCCTTCCTACCCCACTGACAGCACTGGCACCATCTGGGTGCTTGACACCCACCTCAAACATTTGGCAGCAGGGTCCTGGCTGTGCAGGCATCCATCACTGTGGCCTCAGACAGGCTGAGAGCAATCTCTCTCTAGTGCTTTCTCTTGTGTCTTTGTGTCAGCTCAGTGTAGCCAGCAGGAATTGCATGGAATGGCGATCAGGTTTCTTCCAAACACTTAGGAGTGCAGGGAAGAAAGATGTAGCTTATTTTTGGCAGAACTGTTTTACTTTAAAATAGTCACTTTTAGATTGCTGCTTCCAACTTCATGGCATATGTTCAAAAAAAAACCCATAAACTTGGGAATTTGGGTGGCAGAACATTCCTGTCAGTTAATATTAATGAGTGTGTTGTATGACTGTCCTTTGCTCATGCTGCTGCTATTTTGAAGGCACACATAAAAATATAACTTGCTATGAAAACTTTTCATTGCTGGTGTGATCATTGTTGTGGAATAATTTCTGGAGAGATGGGATCCATTTCAAGCCAAACAGATGTTTCTAGATACCTTTTCCTTGAATGGAGGGGTAATATCTTCAAAGCAGTCAGGAAGTTCTTAAATTGTAAGTCAGACCCACTGGAGCTAGTATATTCTGGTGTAGCTGAAAAAAAATGCCATCAGAAAGGTCCAGCTAGAAATACTTTGTCTCCTGATTACCTAAAAGCATAAAAAATAGTTTGAGAAGTCACACATCAAGACTCCTTTAGGACTGTTACTTGCATGGCACTGTGTTACTAAGCTCAAAAGATTTAGAAATATCAGTGAATTTGTTGGCATTTACTCTGTTTATTGTTTTGTGCTTTCCTCAGCCTGAGGAGTAAAACCAGCCCAGTCTGCTCCTTTGTGTTTGGCTGGTTTCACTCTCAAGTTCCACTGCATTAACACAATTAATTGTCTTGTGTTTTGAGTGTAAATAATGAGGAAAAAATGACCTTGTTTGCAATGACTGCAAAAAGTTTTGCAAATAATGAGAACATTTTCTTTTTCATTCTGTTTGATATACTTCTCCTTGACTATGCTATCATCTCACATCTTCCTTCTTCCCCTTTTTATGTACAAAAGCTGAATTTAAGCTATAGGGCATCTAGAAAAGATAAATCCTGAGAGGTGCTGAGCATGGCTCGAGCACCCCAGTCTGCAGTCAGGGGTGGCAGGAGGTGGCCAATACTTCACAGGACTCTGCTTTGAAAATCCCCTCTTGTTCTCCTTTGTGACACAAATGACCACAAATATCTATGCAAAATGTCTACACTAATACTCACTAATTCTGAGGAAGCTATACAAGAGTAGTGCTGAAACCTGGGGTTGGTGGTCCTGGCAGGAAGGACAGCAGGTTATATATGGGCTGACCTAAGTGTTAGAGAATGGAAAATAATTTGCATTTATTTTGCACTTGTATGAGTTAACCTTCACTGACTCCTCAGTTGTGTGAGAGGAAGGGAGAAGCCAAGAGAAACTGCTGGGAGGAAAACAATGGGATACACTGCATTTCTAGCAAAAGCAGCCCTGTAATACCAAGCACAAGTCAAAGAATAAGAAGTTTTATCAAGTTACTTCTCAGAAATAAATCACTGCAAAACCTTTCACACATGGTCCAAAAAGCATCACCCAGCCTTCACTATGCTGATTTGAAAGCTGAGGAAAAAAATCCAAATAAATTGCCACTGTCCTAGTTGTAAGGCAGAGGAGTGGTAGCCATGGTCCCTAACCCCTTTCTTTCTCCCTCCTTTCTTTCTTCTGTGTATGTGTGTCTCTCTCTGTCTCTGTCTCTCTCTTTCCTCATGCCACAGGGAGAGGTTTGAAACGGAACGTAACAGCCCACGCTTTGCCAAATTGCGCAACTGGCATCACGGCCTGTCCGCGCAGCTCCTTAATGTTAAAAGCTAAACGGCCCCGGCCGAGGGCAAACACAGGGTCCCAGTAACACATTAACTGCTGGCCTGACTTAGAGCCTGAGCCTGCCACTCGTGCAAAGATGTGCTACTAGGCACTTGGTTTCTGCTGTTAGCCTGTTAGCCATTCGCTCTCACCAAGGGTGAAATCATGACACAACCCAGGACATGTTCTTCATGATAAAGTAGCTTAGCTTTTTTTCCTTTATTATCTCAAACTTCAGTATACAGCAAAACGTCACTATTGTAGTCTCTTGACTTTAATTCTAGAAGAAAATGAGAGGGAAGTTATTGACAGTATTTCTTTAGAAGGAAAAAGAATGAGATTTTCACAGAGTTTTACTGATGTAAAGATAATGAAGTAAGAGAAAGAAAATTGAGAAGGAAAACTGATTGGCCTAGACTTTGCTAAATGTATAACACAGTTTGCATAGCTGAATGATGCTGTTTGAAATAAGATATTAGCAATGTGAAGTTATATTTCAATATATTATACTGGCAAAAGTCATTTACTGAAACCATTGCTGTAAGTTTTGTGTTGGAAACTTTAATTTATCATTATATGGAAGAGAGGTAGCTGAGGTTGCTCAGGATCTGCAAGGAAATGATATTTTGCTAGAGGTGATTTAGGAGTGAGAAGAATATATCATACTGCTGGTACACTGAAGCTTTTAAAAGCATCTTGTAAGTTTTAAGGACTATGTTGCCCATTCTGTATTGCTCTTGCTTTGACTCACATTTTTTTCTGTATATAGCAGCATGCTTTATCTGAAATAAAAGGTTTTAAAACTAAAATAATTCTGTGCCTATTTTACACAGTACTTTATTCTGTTTTAAAACTTAACTGCTTCAAGAGATTATTGAAAGAAGGAGAACTTTTCTTTCCCGAATATAAAATTTGGTCAAAAAGCTTTCCGTTATTAGCTGTAATTATTATTGACCTGTAAGTTGTCTGAATTGGAATAAACCTGACAAAGCAGTTGAGTTAGGTACCTTTATCTTGTAGCAGTAATTCCAATCGAAGGGATTAGTGCATGAGATCAGATTGAAACTATTACACTTTTTGCTGCTTCCAAATTTGTCTCAGCAGTTCGTACAAGAACCAAGTTCATGCAAACTCCCATTTTTTTCTGTGTTATAGAAATAAGGAAATGCTACTGTTCGTGGAGAATTTTGCATGAATCAGCCAAATACTGAAATGTTTAAAGGTTTAGCATACATATATAAAAAACCTGATTCTTCAGTATTACTTAAGAGTACCTAAGCACTAATTCCTTTTAAAATGCATTTCACTTTTCCTAGCTGAATACCAGAGCACTTCAGGACATGCTACTTAATTCACAATATGCATTTATATTTTCCTTATGGGAACATAAACAGATTCTGATCACACTATTTTATTAGTACCTATGGTAAATCAGCATTACTGCATAAATAAGAGCAACATTTTAGCTTTTCCTGACTGTTGCCAGGAGCAACCTTTGGTGTGAACTTT